AAATGAGGCTTATCAGAGGACAATTTTCCGACTTGGGCCTTTAGATCGCCTGCCAACACCACAGTATCCGTGCTTCTTCTGAAACGAAGGAGTTCGTGAAGTTGCTGATAGAAATCATCTTCCATCGAATCAGTGCTACAGTTTGTAGGAGCGTAGGCCGCAATGACAAACAGGCACCGTTTGTCCCCGTGCGACTTCGTAGCACGGAAGGAACCAGATAATCTAACGCACACATCCGACTGTTGACTGGGATCCAATCAATCAGGGAAGCTTCAGCCCGGGGACTCAAAACAATGCCGACGCCAGCTTGACCAGCATTTGAAGCTGCGTCATTGCCAGATAGGCGCAATGAGAATGCGGCGCCAGCGTCGCATGTGGGGTATCGCAGGGTAAGCACGGAGCCCGCATCTCGCAGGCGGGTTTCTGATAAACACCAAATATCGCTCGATAAGGTCTCTAGTGGGCGAGCAAGTGCTGCCTTTTGGATAATCTGTAGCAAAGTGCGCACGTTGAGGCATGAAAGTCTTAGCGAGCCGCGAGGACTCCAAAGGTAAACGGATGAATTGACGTTGTCCGCTTGGTTGAACATGGACTTGTCGACTGGATTGGAGCGACACCTGCGATTGTGGATGAGCTGAAACTAGAAGCCAATCGACTGTTGAAGCGAGATGGGGAGGGTCAAGAAGTGGGGGATTTAAAATGGGGAAGATAAAAGTGCGTTGGAGCTAGACGATAAGGAAGAAAAGTGTAAAAAGGGGAATTAGAAGACGGGAAGGCCTGAGCAGCAGCATCAAAACCCCTGGCCACCTTGCTCGATGCAGTAGATAGGGCGCCGTTGATTATCCTCTGTGACGGCCAGAGCATCATAAATTGTTAGTAGAAAGATTAATTATATTGCGTGGGCAAAATGCTGTCGGGTTGCCCAAGCCTAGACAGGAGAACTATTAGGGTTCTCAACCAAAGCCTTTGGTTCAAAAACCTTACCGCAATACAGCGGGGTTTTGGCACTGAACTACATTGAGCCCGTTTTATGGAAAAAGGATCCACCCTCATTCCAACCCCCAACCTAGAAGACTAAGAGGCTGAGTTTGTCAGGCTTCTAACCATTGATCATTGTGGTATGAGTGGCTTTCAAGGTGCAACAAAACACCACCCAGCATATCTCATGGATCACTGAGACACGCAAACCATCGCACCACGGTAAGGTCCAGCCTCATTGCGATGGATGCGAATGACTGCGTATCACTTAATAAGCATATATGCTGCGACTTTACAATCGGAAGTTAGAAATTACGATGGAGAACAGAAATCTACTCCTGCTACACGAAATTTTACTAATTGTCCATTAAAGGACAAATATATAGTTATTTAAATAATTCGAACAAAGGGTACTGCAATTAACCGCCGCTCATATGCCTATTATCAGCTGAATATGCTTTCTCACCGGGGATTTTACAAACAGACATTTATTATGTCCATTTAAGGCAGAGCTTTGCACTCTGTGTGAAATTCTCCTTATCTTTATGCCTCCCCAGAATTGTGACACCACAGCATGTTTCCTGGATGTCTACTTGCGGATACATATCTGTCTCATCCTCAGTGTCCGCACATACACGCGGCAACCCCCAACCAGCTACTTCGATGTCTGTATATCTACTGATCGCCTTTAAGTCGATCCGTCCAATTCCTGACACTTGAATCGTTGGAAGTGGAAATTCCTTTCATAATTCCAAAACAGGAAATGCAGAAGTCATAAGCTACTAGATGACAGTTAATTCTTGCATGTTCGTCAATCACAATCATGTAATCAAGGGCGGCTATGCAGAGCCTGGTCACATGAGATCAGCAGATAGCCAGTTGGTGGCCGATCGGTGCACTTCGCGCTACCATGGTAAGTTCAGATTCACTGTCAACTGCTTTTGCACACAAAGCAGTGGCCACTCTCTATCAATTACAATAGCTCCCAATAGGTGATAGGATCAATGAACACATTCGAAAGAGAGCATGCAGCTGGATGGGATCTTTGACCGAAAAGCTTGTGAAGTGGAGAATCGAGCTGCCTCAGCAAACACAAAGCAATTGTTGAGCCCCGAACACCTAGTCAATCCCGGTGCGTCACTCATCCTCCTGATGTGCTGTCAGCATCCCTACATTCTCAGGCTATTGGCAACTATCGTAATCGATCGAGAACAGTCACTGCTTTGTGTGCAGAAACAGCTGACTGTGAATCTGAACTTACCGCGGTAGTGTGAGGTGTGATGATTAGCTAATGATGGACCATCTATTAATCTCATAAACCGCATTTTGTATATCCATGATCCTTGCATGATTTGTGATCGACGAGCTTGTACGATATGTCTAGTATCTTTGAATACTTCCGACTTTGACGGGTCTGTGGTCACTGCTTGTTTGAGCGCTAGTTCGGCTCTGCTTGACGTTGTCTGAAGTCTGTGGATAATCGGAGTACGTCATTGTATAGTATTGTCCTCTAAATAGCACCATAGCTTTTGGATGCACCCATTGCTTTCAAGAACTGGGGATCTTCTCCTGTGCGTGGCCAAAAGACTGCATTTTCTTTATTACAGTGATCATGCAAAAATGAGCAGTAAACGTGAAATTTTAGGATATTCACCTACAAGAAATTAAAGCAGTGGTGAAAAGTTGTACCCTAGAAATATATGGATTTAATCCGAATCACACATAGTTACCTAGTAATGAACAGTATCATGAAACGCCCTCAGTGCAATAGGCACCTTAATGATGAGGAAAAAATCATGTTAAGGTGTTTTACAGCCACTACCTACCTAATGTCATGTTGATGTGAAGACAAGTATACTTTAGTTTATGTGGCCATTCATGAAAAACGCCTCAGAACGACATCAACGTCAGTTGGCACTAATGGATAAGAAGCCTCAGGTGTCCTTTGCATCAATACGTTTATTCGTTTCTGGTCTCCTCAAGCACTGCAAATCGACTGATTTTAGGGCTGTCGTTAACCCACTTACTGTTTGGGATACCATCATGTGTGCAAACCTATAATTAGAAGCTGGGTTTGCCGCAGCTGTTGGTTTGTTGCTTGAAAAGTACCAGGCTACCCTTGTAATGGGGTAATTTTTTTGTTTGATCCAGCGACAAGCAGTTGCCATTTGAACAGTCGATTACCTTATAGCAAAACCTGACCATTTAGGGTTTAGCATTCAACACATACTGACATACTTAGATTCCATGTTTCACCTCTGTTCAACTTCCTCTGATAGAGATAGGTTGTGTCTGTACTCTAAAATGAAACCTCACAAGTGTCAGTCTAGGAAGTTCTGTGGACCGCGCATGTGTAAGAAGTTGGAGATATCATGAGTCACATCAAAGGCCAATGGTGTAATGCGAATTAGAACCTCAGAAAGTAACATACGCCACCGGATTGTAGATCAAAGGATCCAAAGGTTATTTATTTATCTACTTAGAAAGAAAAGGAAAAACAACCAGAAATACTAAACACCTACAGTGAACTTGCCGACAACAAACTAGTCCATCAAAACTGTACACACATGGTCTCATGCAAGTTGGAAGTCGACCGCCTTTGGTTTGCCCACCAAAATGTACGTGTTTATTCGGTTTTGACTTCTGATCTTCCGATTGGTCTTCTGTGATAAATGAAATGTTGTAATGCGGTAAACGAACCGTCCACATGATATTTGGACACAGGTAATGTAAGCATTACAGTACAATACAATATATGATTGAACCGATTACTGTAAAACAAAAATGGAGCAGTGATACTTAAGAAACAAGCTTTTGACGCCTACAGGTCTAGTGGGACAGGACAGATACAAATAGCGAGGGTCATGTAATGCGGGTAAGCAACTTTGTATGTGTTCGTGAACTCACCGAGATGTCCACTTTAGTTAAAAGTGGAAATGCATTGTTTGGTTGCATTATCAAGTGTTTCAACGAAAACAAGTTATACGGAGAATTGTAAATGGCGCGATACAGTGATTAGTCGTTTTTAACTATTGTTAAATTAGGAGGAAAATCTAGGTGAAAATAGTGGGCGTCCTACTACCAGTATACCCAAAGAAAGAATTTCGACCGCATTTCAGATTCTGTCTTGAATGAGCAAAAAGCAGTTGATCGAAGTGAGCTTGAATTGGCCCCAAATGAGTCTTCAGTAGGTGTTCCAGTAACTCTACCTGTGGCAGCTACTCCTAAGCTGATGCGAGTGTTGACATCACTTGGTGAGCTTAAAAATGGATCAGGCCCTGTGTGATCAATTGGACTAAGGTTTGTACCACCATAGGACTAAGGATGCAGCATCCACAGTAGTTAGCACAATAGTTAGTCCTGGTGTATGGCTGGCCTTTTGGATACACTTCATGTAAAAGCCCATAGTTCATGCTTAGACTCATTGTAGCAAAGTGTACTAAGATGACGCGTTTCATGTGGAACGTGCAGTTACCCTCTTCCTTTTCGGTCGGAGGGATGTTAAATGCGGCTGACTTTCAGTAGTGCATTCTACGTCCGATTGTGTGGTTGTTTGCAATTTTCACGTTGAATAGGAGGATGTTTGAGGAAATTTGCCGACTCGTCCCAGAAGCTCGTGAAACATTTGGTCCAAACACCAATCCAGAGCAACACCAGACGGCCGTTTCGCTCTATCAGGACCCGTCAAGTATACTCATACCCTCTTTCCTGTTCAGGGAAGTGATCCCATCAGCTAGTAGCTTGCCTGCACATTATGCCACTGAATCATGGTGGACGTGGGCAAACTGTCACATGTCATAAGCTAACAGGAACGTAGTGTAACCCACGCTCCGCATCGCTACTGCATTTCCGAGCTCTACTATCTATGCTTGTCATGACCTCTGTCTGTTAGTTGGCTGATTGAGTCTAGCCTAGCTGAAGAGCATACTGGTACTGCTAAGCTGGAACCATTTCGTAACTGTCCGCTGGAGTTTCACAGTTTACTGTGATTTTTGTTTATTTCATTTGTGACTATTTTGTAGGTCTGTGCGTGTCCTTTGTGGGAACCTACCAGATTGATGGCAATGCTGTGGAATTTACGCCAGCATACGAGGACGATACTGCTGTGGCCTATGAGAGTTTGAGAAAATCCGTGTGTCGCTCGGTGAGTGGATGTTGACGTAGTACAATTTTCTGCGTTTGATTTCTGTTATTGGATTAAATCGCTTCCAATTAACTTCTCGGTTCTCTCGGCACGTTGGGTCTAACTTGAAAGACGATTCTTCTATGATGATCAGTTTCGATCCTTAACTTCTCTAGGTGGGGAATTCGTTTCTTGTCTTTTATCTTTGAAGCATCTTATTGTCAATTTGCGTCCTGCGCCAAGATAGCTTGATGCACGCAACTTGGTGTTGTAACGGGTGTGTGTGGGTGTGAGTGTGCGTAATGGTTCTCGAGTCTACTGTCATCACATTGAGAAGCAAGCTATCTGATGAGTTCGACCGCCGGAGCTAGTTGCGTCGGTTGATGAACATCAAAATCGAATCCACAAATTTATCTGTCCATCAAGCGTATTCACAGAATCCATTTTATATCACAGAATCCAATGGCTTAAATTGCGCAGTTTTAATGCTATTACTTGATATGCCTGAACTTTCGACCGGGGGCCTCACAAGCGGCTACTGAAAAAATTGTCATTTGGGATCAGACAAGCACCACTAGTTGGTTAACGTCACTCTTAAGTGGGCGTTATCAGATAGTCATTGAGTAATCATAACTCTTCCCTACATCCAATCCCTACTGGTGTTTTTCAAGGGTCCTTCACTATTCCTATTCTATATTCATGATATCATGCAATCTGGCAGGCCAATTTTGTTCACCGATGACGTTAAGATTATGACTTCGGCGAGACGAACTCCAAAGCGCAATGTTACTCATTCAAGAACACATCGCTTCATTTGAGCAATGGTGCGACACATGGATGATAACGTTCTCAGTTAGTAAACCCTCCATTATGTCACACAGATGTATGCTCCCTCTAGAGTCAATTAAGCTGTACAATGAACGCATGTATGTAAAACTGTCCGTGATCTACGTTTACGACACTTTAAATGCAAGTATTTAGAGCAGGATTAACGTCAAATAGCAAATGCCACAAGATCTACACTGCCTGTGTCAAAATTGAACTCTTCCAAATCCTCACACTTTCTATCCTTGATTACTGCAACACTGTTTATGGGAACATGCTGAAAAGTGACAGTAAAACTCTGAAAAATCTGTAAAAAACATTTGCTAAACGTCTGTTCACTAAATTGTCAACTTTGAGCAGCTATCAGGAGAGTTGCCAGCAGTTTAATTTCGAGCCTCTTTGATTGCGACGACTGAAACATAAGCTGATGCTGAGACATAATCTCATAAACCAAAATATGTACTCCAATCTGTGCACACTAAAATTGCAACGTAACTTCACCCGGAAACTAGGCAACAAGAATTGTACACTCCATGTGCCAAGAACCAGGACAGCTATTTGATCCAACTTCTTCCTCATTTTAGATACGCTGTCCTGTGGAAGGACATGTCAACCACTATCATATTTTGTAAACTGAACAAACATTCCGCATTAAACTTAGATATTCTCCGGACCAGAACTCGGCAATGACCATGATTCCATTGGGTAAGGCTCTAAATGAGTTCTGCCAGAATGGACCAAGAAATATATAAATCGTGAGAAGTGATGTTGCACAAAACTCAGCACCAACAAAAGTTCTGTGTTTCAGGGTGTTTTAATGCCACACACCCCGGAATACGTATCGCGCTTACACATGAGCATGATCATTACTGTGCTCAGGATCTGTCCCAATTCAGGGACAGCTTTTTCCACATGCGAAAATATACGCATTATTAGTATTCGCGTTCTTATGGCGAACTGCGACTTATTCGAGTTATCTTAATCCACTATCGAGGTGGAAAACTTCTTGCCCTCGGTACTCCGGTTTAAGAATAATTCATGCTAGATACGTCACTTTTCTTATTTTACCGGGGGTAAATGACTTTCGAAAAGAAACAGCGTTGAAGAATATACCAGGAACAGTCGGCAAAACACAGCTTCCCTCCATGGCGTACCGGAGCTTTCATCCAATAATAGTAAAGAAAATATAAATACTGACTTGAAGCAATGCTGATTCACTCATGAAACACCCTTATTGGATAATATTGTCGTGCCATTTCCTAAAAGAATAGTTATCACGCGTAATTATGAGAGGTTGGGCTTAAGATTATTGAAACTTGAGGCCAATCTAGAGGGCCGGTATCAGAACTGCTGGGAGGTTGAAAGAACTGAAAGCTTTAGGTGACCGTCAAAAATCAGACACAAAAGCATGCGAAAAAATTAATCTTCACTGGAGTCCCACTTGATTGAGTACTTATGCAACTTTGAAGCAGACTTATATTTGGAATGAGACGAGCGGGGGTCAAATGAAACCATAGGCAAGGCGTCAGCATTGCAACAAAGATACACCTAACGACCGTCTTTGCATCTGTCAGCATTTTCACACAACTGACCACTTTAGATCCCTGCGGGTAACTAATAAAATGGTTTTAACCTGCATAAATGCCAATACGCAAGACTTTACCAGTAAGCTGCCCGGAATACAAGACTGTAATTTTCCAAGGCAAATGATATCCTCAGTGTTAATTAGGTTTGATTACACGCTGGAACGGCTGGCGTGGAATTCTCACTGCCGAGGAGGCATATTTACCGAAATATTTTCACAGAAGAAGGAAAGGTACTTTCCTATTACTGGTGTGACCTGGAGCACCTGGTCAAGGCGGGTGTAGATATGACTCTGCATGTCTCTGTTGTTCTGTTGCCAGCTAAGTAGCTTCTCACCAGACGGCCGTTTATCGTTGGACGGATCCACTCGAAAACAAAAGATTCTTCTTACTAATCTTACATAGGTAAGTACCAGCCTTGTGGCTTTAGTGTTTCGCCACTCAGCTTGTACACAGGAAATGAACCGTTACTCGGCAACTCTCCTAATAGGTAGGTCAAAAGGGAACTACACATGTATCTTCATCATGGATGCTTTCAACGTACATCCTCTAGAAACCAGAGAAACTATTTGGTAACCATCGACGGCCGAACAGCAAATGTTTAGTGTCAATGTTGGGCTTGACAACCACGTCGTTGCGACCCCAGGTTCAGGGAAGATAAACTGTCTTTACCGGAACCAGTACCCACCAACGAAGAGCATATGATTAAAGAAATCACTGTAGACTACCAGCTAGAAGGCAGTGAGTATATAGTCATTATGTTATACTTCATCCACCATGCTGAAGGCCCAAATGAGAATCTTAAGCCAGTGCGTACCTTTGAGTATTACAACCACTTGATTTATTTTCTCATTTGCACAAGCTGGCTATTCATTGTCGGTGATTTCCCCGTCGGTCGTCTGGACAGATATTTTTCCGTAGCTTTCATGGGTTGAGCAAAACATCTCAGAAAATGGGGGTTGTTATGGCTTCAAAGCTGTATTTCTTTTGGAGTAGAACACGCTACTGTATGGCAATACGAAGTACAGCGTGGAGACAGTATAGCTTCTTTTTCCATGCGCGAGATGCATACGCATAACCTAAGGTTATTACTGAGCTCGAATGTATCAAAAAGAGACAAAGTGAGGCAATGGTAGTGTCACGTACAGTTAACGCGCGATTCTGTAGGCCGTTTATAAAGTAAAAATACGTGCACGTTGTACATGGAACCACACAACAGCAAAAGGGGACAAGAACCAATCAGAAAAGGGCCGGTTGTTGAGTATTGATCCATGTTGTCTTAACGGCGCGATCCAGTCACGTGAGCGTATGTGGTTTGCTGGTGGTGGGCCTTATCTATCGACAATGCATGTGTAGGTAAAAACCGGATATGTAAAAGCCTGCAATGCACCATAAACTTCTATACGAATACGTCAGTGATCCGTGAAATGTGATGCAGGAACGTTTCCGGCTATGTACAGATGATGACACAATAACAGTCGGTACAGAATTAGCAACCGTGGTCAGGATGCAATAACATCCTACATTTCATGGGAATTTGCCGTGATGTCATCTTGCTGTCTTTGGTACTTATCGGAAGCTGAGGTCACTGCGCAACCACAAATCCCCTGAAGTGGATGCCTTTCGCCGAAAGGCGATGGAGCTAACTGTCAGGGAGCTGACAAAACCTTCGGCTCGGTTTTTTCAACGGTGTTTGCATTAGAATCAGCTTCCTACCATGTAGACTTTAGGAATAATCATAAAACGCCATAAAGAACAAGGCGGCACTGAACAAGCAAAATACCATCTAGTAACACTTCCTCCGGTACCACCAGTGACCTTGTATTCCATCGCTGCCGTTGCGTTGGGGGCCTGTCTAGAAAACGCCGGGATTTCCTATCCCGGCCTATAACGCGCAGATGTTGAACTAAGCCAACTGACGCTTGACGGGGAAGTGATATGATCTACCTGGATTTCTCGGAAATGTTCGACCATCTAGCTCCTCTGAACCTCTCTTCAAGCTCCAGTATTACAATATATGTAGTCGTCTATTGAGCGGGTTTGCCAACTCTTGCTACCGCAATCATTGGTCAGAGTTCGAAGCCCCCATATCCAAACCCATACAAGTTTAAATTGGTGTACTAAACAGCACCGTATCAGGACCACATTTGATTTGATCTTCACCGACGGTCCCGTTCCAAGTACATCCTGAACTTTCTACTTATCCCGACGAAAGCAAGTTATAAAGACGGACTCAGATGAAAGCCGACCAGCAATTACCCTATTGTGACTTATGTAAGAAACATCAGTGGGTGGACCGAAATCAACTGCAATTCAACGTGCTCAAATGCAAAGCATTCTCCATACGACACCAGAGTACCTGCTCCTACAGGTACTGAACACGTTTAATACAGCGCTCCACTGTTGAAGGCGCCTTTCGAAGCTCATTGGCGTGGCAGAGAGCAGATAGGCGACCCTCTGTTAGCTCCATCACATCACGAAAAGTTTCCAGGCAGTGTTTCATATGGATGCAGTACAGTCGCAACGAAAACAACATTATTCTTGCATACTCAGGAGGTAAAAGTCAAACAGCTGTTTGAAAGTTTCCTCACTTTACGCGCTAACGACCAGCTC